CCTGCACCTTTGTGACCTCTTGTAGCCTCACTGTTCCACCGGCTTCCCTCTCATTCATACACATGTACTCTGTCTTACTACGGCTGACTTTCATTCCTCTTCTTTCAAGTGCATAACTCCAGTTCTTTTCCACCTATTCCCTGTTCTCACCACAGATCACAATGTCATCTGCAAACATCATAGTCCATGGGGATTCTTGTCTGACCTCATCAGTTAGTCTGTCCATCACCAGAGCAAACAAGAAGGGGCTCAGAGCCGATCCTTGATGTAATCCCACCTCCACCTTGAAGCTGTCTGTCTTTCCTATAGCACATCTCACCACTGTCCTGCTGTCCTCATACATGCCCTGTACCAGTCTAACATACTTTTCTGCCACTCCAGATTTCCTCATGCAATACCACACCTCTGTTCTTGGCACTCTGTCATATGCTTTTTCTAAATCCACAAAGACACAATGTTCTGACCCTCTCTGTACGTCTCCATCAGCATTCTCAAAACAAAGATGGCATATGTGGTGCTCTTTCTTGGCATGAAACTATACTGCTGCTCACAGATAGTCACCTCTTGTCAAAGTCTTGCTTCCACGACTCTCTCCCAGATCTTCATCGTGTGGCTCATCAACTTAATTCCCCTGTAGTTGCTACAACTCCGTACATCACCTTTGTTCTTAAAAATGGGCACCAGCAAACTTCTTCACCATTCCTCAGGCCTTTTCTCACCCTCATATATGCCATTGAATATTTGAGTCAAAAATCTCACTACCATTTCTCCAAGACATTTCCAAACCTCCACTGGTATGTCATCAGGTCTTACTGCCTTCCCCTTCTTCATTCTTTTCAGAGCTTTCCCAACTTCACCCTCACTAATCTTTCCCACTTCCTGGTCCACAGTTTCTATGACCTCTACTCTTCTTTCTCTTTCATTCTCTTCATTCATTAGCTCCTCAAAGTACTCCTTCCATCTTCCCGTCACACTCTCCTCACTTGTTAGAACATTACCATTCCTATATTTAATAAGCCTAACCTGCTGCACATCCTTTCCAGCCTGATCCCTCTGACTTGACAATTGGTACAAGTCCTTCTCACCCTCTTTAGTGTACAGTCTCCCATACAACTCATCGTACACACTCTGCTTTGCCTTAGCTACTTCCCTCTTAGCTCTACGTCCCATCTCCTTATATTTCTGTCTCCTCCCTTCAGTCCTCTCACTGTCATATTTCTTCTTGGCTAATCTCTTTCTTTGAATGGCGTCCTGCACTTCACTATTCCACCACCAGGTTTCCTTATCATCCATTCTCTGTCCAGATGACACCCCAAGTACCTTCCTACCTGTCTCTCTAATTACTGTTGCTGTAGTAGCCCAGTCATTTGGAAGCTCTTTCTTACTACCCAGAACATTCAACAGCTCCTCTCTGAATTTCTCACAACATTCTTCCTTCTTCAGCTTCCACCATTTGGTCTTCTTCTCTGATTTTACTATTTTTCTCTTCTTCACAACAACAGTCATTCTACACACAACCATCCGATGCTGTCTGGCCACGCTCTCCCCTGCCACAACCTTACAGTCACCAATCTCCCTCAGGTTTCCTCTTCTACACAGAATGTAATCGACCTGCGTACTCATTCCTCCACTCTTATAGGTCACTCTATGCTCCTCCCTCTTTTGGAAATAGGTATTGCCTATAGTCATTTCCATTCTCTTGGCAAAATCTACCACCATCTGTCCTTCCTGGTTTCTTTCCTTGACACCAAACCTACCCATCACTTCCTCATCCCCTCTGTTTCCTTCACCAATATGTCCATTCAG